AAAGTCATTAGAAAATGAATATGTCCCAGAATCTGGGGCATATGGTGCACTGGGACACTGGCATGATTTTGAGTTGAGAATAGAAGCATAAATAATTAAGAAGATTAATCCGTTAAATGAGTGGGAGATGTTTTTAATTACCCTGCTGATGTTACACAACCCTGACAAGCTGCCAATCAAAGAGCCCTTGGGTGATACATGCTAGCAGGATTCAAAGAAACACTGCATTACAACTATATTTAAATATAGACAAAAACACAATAACTAAACTTGACAAACAAGACACATTTTATTACATGCCCCCATAAAGACCATATCACATCTGGTTTCCCATAAGTCATTTTCTCATTGTTTGCCTGTCAGTGAATAATAACTGAACTTTCGCTGCCTTAAATCAAGACTTTGTTCAAAACAGAGCCTGGAAACAGGAGGACCAACCCCGAAAACAAAATCTAAATGTTATCATAATGTCACACAGGAGTCATTTAGCCAAGCAGCCGTCCTGTCCGCAAGGTGCCAATTTGCGAGGCACAAAACACTTTTGCACAAAAGAAGCTGATCCCTGAACTTCTGAGAAAGGAAATCTCTGTAAGAGGCAGAAGCGATTCATCACATGTGCCGCAAATGCAGAGGGCACAGTGTTTTCCTTCACTCTTATCGGAACCGAGTTAAACAACAACAAATGCTGTCACCTTGATTGGCTCTGGTGGAATTGGTGCCATCACTCAGGTCTGTTGTGGTTTTTATACTAGAATCAATGGTAGGGAACAAATCCAATTGACAGGCCTGGTGACAAAGCCCCAGGGGATTTTCCAGAGCTCAGAGATGGGCGGTGATATTCATCCCAGAATTCCATGAAGTTATGGGAATTTCTGAGATCTGGAAGACACTGAACAGAGAGATAAACCTACTTGTTTTTAATAGGCCTACTGAAAAAAAAAAAACATTTATTAATTTTTGTGCTTGTTTATTTGATTACTACAAAACCAACTTACATTATTTTTCAACAAAATTATGGTTATGGTTATGACAATCTCCTAATCAAAGAAAATAATCGGTATTAGGATTATATAGTAATATATAAATGTGAAATATATATATATGAAAATATCATATATAAAATATTATATACATGATTGTTTATAAGTGTTGTTTAGTTCAGGACTACACACGCACACACATACACACACAAATATATATATATATATATATATATATATATGTGTGTGTGTGTGTGTGTGTATTTTTGATCAATTATAAATATGTATATTTATTTATTTGATTTAAAATACAGTAGCTGTAATAAGACAAAATGATAATATCACTGGCTTTTCAACAAATAAAATCACTCGAAAATACAGTAAAAACAGTAATATTGTGAAATATTATTACAATTTAAAGTAACTGTTTTCTATTAGAATATATTTAAAAATGTAATTTATTCTGGTGATGCAAAGCTATATTTATGACCCAAGTTTCAGCTACACTATGTGCCACCCTACAGAATGAAGCTTTAATTCTCTGACAACAAAGTTATATAATTCACCGCAGTTGTCACATCAGTGGATGTTTATTCCCACAAAGGGACCGAGAATCTAGGAAGGTTGTTTGAAGTGCTAGGACTAGAACGTGCAGGCTGTGTCAACTGGTAACCCGACCCACAGGAAAAAGGACACAAGTGGGTGGCCAGGAGCCTTTTGTCTAACGTCATCATACCTACGAATGCCTTTAACCTTTCAGAGTGACATCTGAGCTCTACCTATGCTCTTGGGTTACAGATGTATCTAACCTCCCTCCTCCATCCATCCTGCTGTTTCATCCATCTATCAGTCCATCTAAGATGACGAGTGAAGAGAGAGAGAGAAAGAGTGAGAGAGACACACACACACACACTTCTAGCCTGGCTGTTGCAGGGCTATCTCAGGCTGCAGGCTTCAGCCTCCCCACCTGCCAAAAGCTCAGATCCTGTTACCCACCTGAGTATACCTGATCCAGGAATGCTTCAGTCCTATGCTACCTTTTAGTTTTACCTGTCACTCACTTAGCTATCGTGCTAACATCTACTCTAGACTGAGATACTTGACGGGTCAATTAATCAGCAGTTTATAACTAATTTGAGAATACTATAGCATATGATTTTAGTTTGTACATGTTTCGAGTAAATATTGTGAATAAATGGGTTTCCTTTTTTCCTACCCCTTGAATAAATACATTTGAGTGTATGCACTGTGATTCATAAATATAATGGTCAAAACGGCACAGTATGTATGTATGAATATGTAGTTTCATATTTTTTAAATAAATTAATAGATGGGGCTAAATAAAATGAGCTTCACGTGTGACACACATTTATTAGACCTCGGCCTGCTCTCTAGATATCAGACAGATATCTCTAGATATTTACTCATCTGGTGCTTGCGATTGGAGCAATTATTACAGCTAAAATAACTTTTACATTCAAAGCCGAAAAGGCTCATCTGCTGAAAGACTGACCTCTGTTAGCTGTTACTTGGGGATTTACAGCATGCTAATTGCAAGAAAAGTCTCTCATGGGAGCCACTGGGGTTAAACACTTTGCTCAAGGGCACAGAGTAGAACTGTCATATCAGAACTCTTCATTTCCATTGTCACTTCACTTCTGCTTGGGACCATACCCAAATCACTGACCATCATACAAAACCATCCAATCACATACAGATCAGCTAAAATGTAGTAAAAAAAAAGAAAAAAGAAGGGCATTGAATGGTGGATAGATCTGACAGCTGCTGTGCAAAGCTAATAATGACCCTAATAATCATGCCTGATGGACATTCACTACCGTTTATGGAAATCAGTGTGAAGTCAAATACAAACACACATGCGTTTATCATCTCAGCAAACATGCCATCAATGTGTTAACTATTTAGGGGTATGTATGTGTGTGCTTATGCGTGAATGTTGAGAGTCCTGCCCATAACCTTCAGAATGAATGTGCTGATGTCTGCATATTTTCCATAGCACATCATTTTCCATTGAACACGCACGAACACTGTACGCCACACCTGTTCCAGTGAGCAAGCTCAGATCCCAGTTGCTCCACTAACTAGTCTGACAAATGTTGATGAAAGGATAGTTAACAGACTCATTGTTTATGTGTGAAGCATATCATTAAAAATCTAATGTATCCTAATTCAGAATCAAACACTACATGTATCCAATTTTTCATTACTTTATGCTAATGAAACCAGCTAAAACTTGACTGTTTATGAGCTACCTTGTGTGTGTGTGTGTGCGTGCGTGAGTGTGTGCCTACTTAACTATAATATGAGTGTGTGCCTACTTAACTATAATATTGGGGACAAATTTGTACCCAGAAGTGACCAAAACCTGACAAAATCTCCAAAAACCTCCCAAAACCGTCCTCATTTGTAAATCTGGTATAAAAATAAAGTTTTTTTTTTTTTTTTAAGTGTAAAAATGCAAAACGTTTTGTGTGATGGGTATAGGTTTAAGGGTAGGGTACGTGTGTGTGTGTGTGTGTGTGTGTGTGTGTTTACTATTTTGTGTACCTATTTGTGTGTGTGTGACTGGAATAATGGATTTTTTTTAATCCTGCCATCCAATGAGAAAATCAGAGCAGAGAGTAAATTAATAAACCTTAAGCGGAGGATAAAAAAAACAAAAAGGTTTAAAAAAAACAAGCTGTTGTGCAGAGATCAGTGTAATCAGTGACTAGAAAATGTGCAGTATCTTGCAGCATAATCTACTTTGTCCTCAAACCGGGCCAATAACCCAGATTAGAACCAATATGCACACATGACACTCACACATTTTCAGACACTCATTTCATAAATCTTAAGTTGTCTTTCTTTCTTTCTCTCCTGTCGTTCCTCGCTCAGGGCAGGACACTGCAGGCAAAGCAGAGCAACTGCAGTTTGCAGTAGCACAGAAACACCTGTCTGTCTGACTGCCTGCCCCTCTATCTGCAGTTTATGGCACTGAAACACTGACCAAACATGGAAAACACATAAACTACATTGACACTTTGACACCACATTCTTACTGGGACTTTTTTAGTGTCAGACATGTTTTGCTTGTGAGGCAACTGTTTAAGGGTGTAACATAAAAACATAGGCTATTTCCCCCCCTTTTTTTCAAGAAAATCCTTAATGTGAAATCTAGGATTCCATTGCACACTGCAGAAAACTGCACTGGCTCAAGCTGGAATGCACGAAAAGTGTGTCTGGGTGCCCTACTTCTGGATAAATTCCAAATGAGGAATTCTAACAAGTACTCAATACCATCCTTATTTCATTTCAAATAAAGTGCTGTTATCAATTACAAGGTAAACTAAGCTTAAATGGCGATTATCGCAGTCTGATGGGTAGATGTGTGCACTGTGCAGTCCTATACCTGACATACCTGCAGCATTCTAAAAGACATTGGCTGAATTAATAGGCTGTGTGTGCATCTACAGAACTCGTGTGTACTGAGTACAACTATATAAATCAATTCAGTTTTCTTAAAGGTATTGTGCACACAATTTTTTTTTTTAAATGTCTTTTTGGGCATGCAATGAAAGTTAATGGTGACTGAGACACTTATTCTGCTCCACAGAAGAAACAAATAGTCATACAGGATTTGAAACAACATTAAGGGGAGTAAATGATTACATAATTGCCATTTATGGGTGAACTACTCCTTTAATCATGTAATTTAAGAGTGCACACCGGCTGCTTATCCTACAAACGGGTGGCGCAGCCCGTCTGGAGCAGCTCTGCATCGAGGTCGTTCAGAGCATTGACGCCATCGGTGCGCATGCAGCAGAATGTTAATGTGAACTGCGGATTCATTGAGAAAAATTCCAGCGATGAGAAACAATGAACTGGCGGCGTGCAACGTCACACAGACCGCGCGCATGCAGTGAAAGCGCTCCTCGCGCACAGACACAGACTGATCATAAACACAGCGTGCATTTATTTTCTTCTTTTTTAATTTCTTTATAGATAAACTTGCAGTACCTGCATTTTGTCGGATGTAAACACCTCCGTGTCTACATCACAGGCGATGAGCGTCAACATCTCCAATTTCATGTTTATCGATGGCATTCCCTCTTTTGCTGCTTGTAAACAGATAAATAAAAAATGGGTCTTTTATTCCCTTTTCTCTCTCTCTCTCTCTCTCTCGCTTTTCCTGTTGTATATGTGCGGCTCTCTGAGGCTTAAAGTCTTTTGTGTGTTGGTGAGGTACTGACTCAAACTCTTCGGCTGTCTGACTGAGATGCTGCTCTGCGAGCGCATGAAGGCTGCTCAGGTTCATCCACACTGACCAATCAGAGCGCTCGGCCGCCACATTGACGTCATCGCCTTATTCATTTGATTCTCTATTCTGATGTGCACGCGCTCCTCAAAGAAGGAACGCAGAACGGAACACCGCATAACGGTTCGGTTTTGCCAACAAACAACGCCGTCATTGTTGTCCTGCTACTTTGATTTACTGACAGTAGGCTACGGGTTCCAGCTGACAACTTTAAGTTGTAGTATAGCTAAAGGAGACACCTCATAAATTCCTTCTAATCACCTCAGACACTGCCATAGGACCACAAAGAACTAGATACATCAATAACAGGATGTAGGCAAGTGACACACGGTCTATTTATAGCCGGAAATCCTCTAATGAATGTCCAAAACAAAAGGTTGTGGAGTCTTGAAAAATTATTTTTAATTCTTGTGAAATATCATTAGTCCATAGGCCTAGTAGCCTACTCAGCATCAGTAGAACATTAAGATATTTTTCTATTTCTTCACTTACACTTAATAAAAAAAAATTAATAGGCTACTTGATAAAAACAGAGAAAAACGTCATCAATATCTGTAAAATCAGTAAATTAGCCAATTTTGCCTAAATGAAGGGTTGCAGAAATGAGTACACATTTGATTTAATTCAACAAACATAGTAGCCTATGTCCCCCATAACTGCTTGGACCCTGTGTGGCATTGATTGAGTGTACAAATTCACAACAGATTTTTACAGTAGCTACATCTATTGTTTTACTCATGGATGATGACCTCCTTGAGTGCCCTGATGTTTGATCAACTTTAACAAAAGTGCCCAAGAACACAGGGAATAAGGAGAAGGGAGAATCCTCTGTTTCAAGATTTTGTATTACATCACTCTGTGGTGTGAATTGACATTGACTTCTTTTGCTATAAGAACGTTCCTGCCACCGATTACCAAAAATCTATTTTGTTAATATAGGCCTTGGAAAAGGCTAAACAAGTTATTTTTTAATGTGCTTTCTTTGGCTTCATGGTGTCCCTGTGTGTACAACAACAATGTATTTCACTTCTGCACATTGCGTCTTACTATGTGAGATGAAACAGTCACTCTTCACTCAGCTTTTTCCAGATCTAAGACAGTTGCATGGCTTTTCTACTGCTCTTTTCTTAGCAAAAAACAAAAGCTTAACTTAACGCATTGTTTGTGCGTTGCTATTTTGAGGCAACCGAAATAGACTGTGCCATTGATCAACAAAAACCTGGTATAAATCAATGGCGACGTATTTTTTTGTTATTTAAAGGGCGCATTAGTAAGGTGGGTGCACAACGCATGTACACTCTGCTTATTACACAAACATGACAAATATTAAAAATAAAAGGATTACAATGTAAAAGATTATTATTGTGTACATAAAGATATGGTGGAATCCGGCTTGATCCGTAGATGGTCTGCTTGCGAGGTTTAACCTCGCGCACGAGCAGATCCGTTTCCTTTGGAGATGTGTTCAATCTTTCCGCCATGTAAATAGCAATCCACCATATAGCGCGAGCCCAACTGGCTTCTAAAAAGATATATTTATAAAGCTCTGAGATCACATAATTTTCCACAGCTCATCTGGGGTTTTTTGTATAGGCCTACTGAAATCTCTCTAAAATATATTTTTGCAGTGTTTTGTAAGTAGAACAATCCAAAAACACATTAAATAACAGTATAACCCACTGAAGAGATGTATGTCCCTCACAGCCTCTCTTTCATTCCCGTTAAAAATCAAAAGATGGTGCGGCTGTAGGCTAAATAAGGTCTATTGCTGAATCTGTTAACTTTCAGAGGGGGTGTAACACTGATCTAAATGACTGGGTTGCGCATGACGTCATAAAAAGTGAAGTCACCGTGCCGCCATATAATATTCCCTCATTCTTTTGAATTAATAGGAAATCATCTGATTTTAATTAGAAAACATTACCTAACGAGTTAGCCTTTTTCTATCTGAAGTCTCCCTGTACATTCTTACAACACAAACATCCTAAACATTTAAATGGTAATTTGTTTATAAAAAGTTTTATTCATCTATATTACAGTGAATCCGATCAGCTGACGGACGAGACACCTTTGTATTACAAATGTCAAAATAATTCTTCTGAAATCTGAATACAGGTTTATGCTTTGTAAGGCATATGCATATAACTTCATTCACCATGTGCAGTTATATAATAGTATTTATTTGTACACAGTAACTGTAAATGATTCAACAGTGTTTTCATTAACAGCATGTATTTCAAAGCAGTAAAGATAATGACTTAAACATTGGTTAAATTAACAATTGGCTCATATACAACTGGTCGCCTTTTCAGTTAAGCTCCTCCTCTTGTCCACAGTCAAGATTTAGCCTCTGACATTCCCTAATGTCTTTGTCATCAAGAACACGTATCACTTACTTTACTTTCGCCTACTACCCCTCCTGGGGCATAGGCCGCCAACAAGGGATCTCCAGGCATCCCTGTCCTGGGCCATTTTTTCCAGCTGACTCCAGGTCTTTCCCATGCTCTTTGTGTCTGCCTCCAAGTCTCGGCGCCAGGTATTTCTCGGTCGACCTCTGTTTCGCTTTCCTTGCGGATTCCATTTTAAGGCTTGTCTGGTGGTGTTTGTCGCTGGCTTACGTAAGGTGTGTCCAATCCATCCCCAACGTCGCTTCTTGATTTCCTCTTCTGCGGGTAGCTGGTTTGTTTTTTGCCAGAGTTCGCTATTGCTGATGGTCACTGGCCAGTGGATGCGGAGTATCTTTCGCAGGCAGCTATTGATGAACACCTGTACTTTCTTGGTGATGGTTACCATGGTCCTCCATGTTTCTGCTCCATAGAGGAGAACTGCCTTGACATTTGAATTAAAAAGTTTTATTTTGGTCTTGACGGACAGTTCCTTGGAGCTCCAGATGTTCCGGAGTTGTATGAATGCTGCACGCGCCTTTCCGATACGAGCCTTAACATCCACGTCAGTGCCCCCCTGTTTGTTGATGACACTGCCTAGATAAAGGCCTCGACCTCTTCCAGGGCTTCTCCATCAAGTGTAACTGGGGTGTTGCTGTTCGCATTTATCTTGAGGATCTTGCTCTTTCCCTTGTGTATGCTGAGGCCTACTCTCACTGAGGCAGCTGCTACGTTATTCGTCTTCTCCTGCATCTGCTGTTGGGTGTGTGACAATAGGGCCAAGTCGTCGGCAAAGTCCAGGTCATCCAGCTGATTCCAGAGCGTCCACTGGATCCCGTGCTTTCTGTGGGCTGTTGAGGTCTTCATGATCCAGTCGATCGCTAGAAGGAAGAGAAACGGTGACAGCAAACAGCCTTGCCTGACGCCGGTCCGCACTTGGAATGCTTCTGTGAGCTGTCCTCCATGGATGACCTTGCAGGTCAGTCCCTCGTATGAGTTTCTGATGATGCTGACGATCTTTGCAGGCACACCATAATGCCGGAGGAGCTTCCAGAGGATTTCGCGGTCCACACTGTCGAAGGCTTTTTCGTAATCAACAAAGTTGATGCACAGGGGTGAGTTCCATTCTATCGACTGCTCAACTATAATACGCAGCGTCGCGATCTGATCAATGCAGGATCTATCCTTGCGAAAGCCGGCCTGCTGGTCACGAAGTTGAGCGTCGACGGGGTCCTTCATCCTGTTCAGCAGGACTCTGTTGAAGACTTTGCCTGGTACTGATAACAGTGTGATTCCTCTGTAGTTCGTGCAGTTGCTAAGGTCACCTTTCTTTGGAAGCTTTACGAGGTATCCCTCTTTCCATTCTGCAGGCACTTGTTCTTCCTCCCAAATTTTCTCAAAAAGTGGGTAGAGCATCTCAACCGTTGTTTCTATGTCTGCTTTCAGCGCCTCTGCTGGGATATTGTCTGGACCCGCTGCTTTTCCATTTCTAAGCTGTCTGATGGCCCTCCTTATTTCTTCTTTAGTTGGTACTTCACAGTCTATCGGCAGATCTGCGTTCGCTGGTTTTATGTCAGGTGGGTTTTGTGGTGTTGGCCTGTTCAAAAGTTCCTCGAAGTGCTCTACCCATCTGTTCCTTTGCTGCTCATCTCCCATAATTGACCTTCCGTTCTTATCCTTCACTGGTCTTTCCGGTCTGCTGTACTTCCCTGCTAACTTCTTGCTGGTGTCATACAGTTCTTTCATGTTGTTCTCTCTCGCTGCTTCCTCTGCTGATGTTGCCAGGTCATCAATGTACTTCCTCTTGTCTGCTCTAATGCTCTTCTTCGTCTGCTTGTTTGCTTCTGTATACTCTGCTTGTGCCTTGGCCTTCTCTGCTCGCGTGCGACTGTTGTTTACAGCCATCTTCTTTTCCTTCCTCTCCTTGATCTTTTTCAGACTGTCTGCAGAGATCCACTCTTTATGCTGGTGTTTCTTTGTGCCAAGCACTTCCTGGCATGTCCCTATCACTGCTTCTTTTAACGTGTCCCACCTCTTTTCAAGACTACTGTCATCTTCTTCCAACATGTCTTGCAGAGCTTGGAATTTGTTGCTGAGGGTCACTTTAAACTCGTATTGCTTACTTGCATCTCTCAGGAGAGCTGTGTTGAACTTTTGTCTTGATGATTTCGCCGCCATCCAGTTTTTCTTTAACTTTAGCTTCAGCCTGGCCACCACCAAGTGGTGGTCCGAAGCCACGTCTGCTCCCCTCTTCACTCGCACATCCTGCAAGGACCTTCTAAACTTCTTGTTTATGCAGATGTGGTCAATCTGATTCTCCGTTTTGTGGTCCGCCGACATCCAGGTGGCTTTGTGAATGTTCTTGTGGGGGAATACGCTGCCACCAATGACTAAGTTGTTTAATGCACACAGGTCTGCTAATCTCTCACCGTTTTCGTTCATGTCCCCAAGTCCATGGCACCCCATGATGCCTTCATACCCCGTGTTGTCCCTCCCAATCTTGGCG